TTTCCCTGTTCTTCTGTGGTTCGAATTTTTCTATGTGATTCATTTAAACCTTGAATCTCATTCACATACTTTACCTGATACTCATCGGCAATATCAACTTTGATATCCTACTCATCACACATCTAAATTTCACAGTGCCTTCTTTTACACTTCAGTGAAATTTATAATACTTTCCCATCTATTTTATGATCTTTACCATCGCCTCCTGCATGTCGGTTGAAGATTACTCTATATTGCTTCAAAGTTTCAATATCAGATCAGCTACACATTTCTTATTGTTCTGTACGTGTAGCGTATGTTATATCTCTTCTCTCTATTGTTCTATACATTAATTTATGTATTTATGTAATATTGTTAATGTTGACTTGAATCTAATTTTAATTTTTGTAAATCACTTATTTTGATATTCAGGTACGGCTTTAAATCAGCTGCTTAACTGTCGTACAGTCTATTGTGTTGTAACTGATATATGATATCAATTTTACTGTATTCTTATTTAATATTAACAGTACCCGCGATAAAGTTATTATTATTACTATTGTTATTATTATTATTATTATTATTAATAAATCAGCAGAAAAAGGAATAAGGACTCGTTATATAAAAATAAACAATATGAAGTCAAGGGCGATACAAGAGATCTTTATTGACTCTTATATCGCTCTTGACTTCATATTGTTTATTATTATTATTATTATTATAGGTGTACAACTTTGCTCCCGCCGTTTTTACAGGTATAAATTTATACCTGTAAAAACGGCGGGAGCGAAATTGTACACCTATATTTGAGATGGCGTCATATGGTAATATACATATATTTTATCAGTTTGGACAAAAATTATAAAGAATTGTTTTATGAACTCTTTAAAAACAGTTATTAAGTAATGATTTCTCATGGAAGAAAGATTTTCAAACTCTTATATTAGTCTTGTCATATAATGAATTTTTTTCTTGTCGAATTCCGAACCGATGCACACACGGCCGCCCCGGTCAATCAACCTTTCGAGACTGTACTGGATTTACAGACTTCTATATATACTATTAGACTGCTAACATGTTTGAAAAAATGGACCCCAATTTCGATTGTGCATTATACGCATGCGTCAAGAACCGCACCGCGTGACCCGTGCGACACATGCGCATACATTAGCATGCTCATACGTATTTTGACAATTAACCTGGGTAAATATTGTAACATTGAAAATGACCCGATCGGAGTAGAAACATTTGTTGTATAGTAGCTACATTATATTTAAATTAAAGTTTTAGTTTTGTTATGTTATCGGCTTTTTGCCCTTTATTATTTTACTTTGATAAATATACTTTAAGTTAACTAATAATTCTTACTGAATAAAACTCAGCTTATCAATACTTTATGTATTGTAACGTTGGAAATGTATTGTAATGTTTGAAAGGCACACTTTGCTAGCATCGTAATTGAAAATGGTTTTTAAATCGTGGTACATATACTGTAATAATAGGTAAATGTTAAGAAAAGCCCCTTCATCACAACTTTTAATAAAAATATACAATCGATGAGTTTTTGCATGAAACGAAGGAATCTGGCATAAAAAAGTTCGCTCTGCCTCGCGAACCGAGATATTAAGTATTAAAGCGAATTTATTTTTAAAGTAATGAATTTCGTAGCTGTGACAGATGTACTAACCTACATGGTTATCAACTTTAACGCTTAATATCTCGGTTCGCGAAGCAGAGCGACACTTTTTTTTGCCAGATTCTTTCGTTTCATGCAAAACCACATCAATTGAGTATATTTTTATCAAAAGTTAAGGTGAAGGGGGTCTTCTTAACATTTACCATACCTACTGCTACAATACGGCTACTCGCAATATCGCAATCAGCGCAGGACGTAGCCATGTTACATTCCTTCGATGTAGTTCGTGACGCATGCGCAGGATGATTATAAATTTTAGGGTCCACTTTATACAAGCTTGTATTAGGGTGCGTCCCGATGGAGAAAGAAATAGCAGAACGGAATGAGAACGGAATATTGATGGAAAAGAGATAGGATTGTTCTATCTCTTTTTTATCAATGTTCCGTTACTGTTCCGTTTCGTTCCGTTATTTCTGACTCCATGTGACTGTACCCTTAACCCTTTCAAGGGCGGTGGGACATATATGTCCCACCTACTTGTGTGTCGTTTTTTGAGTGTTTCTCAGCTATTTATCGGCGCTTTTTTACATGCAATGGCTTTTTAGGTTCATAGAGACATAAGTTATAAGATTTTCATGGCAACTTGCATTAGTTTTTTTTGTTTATAATTAGTTATAAACAAATGAATCTGAAAAAACGCGTTTTTTTTTAGAATAAAATCGGATTCTCGTAAGTGACGACACCTAGAGGTCTGAAAATTTTTTCGTGTATAGTTTGATTACAGTACTTTAACATACATTCGATTAAAAATTTTTTATAGGCTACATTTTTTTTAATAAATTGCCAAAAATTAGGTTTTTTGAATGATTTTTCATAGTTCCGCCATATTGAATCCGCCATCTTGAATTTTGAAATTCTGATGTCAGAATCGTAATCAGCGACCCCAAAAACGTATTATACACCAGTAGTTATCAAAATTCGCCGAGAGGAAAAATGTGCCCCTGAAGGGGTTAAAGGAGTTAGTAGTCTAGTCATATATGTATACAGAAGTCTGTGACTGGATTACACGAGACGAACACTTTCTTATTGTACACTGTATATATTCCATTAATACACTATAATGGCCTAGTTTACACCTTACGTTTATGCTGTTACCTATACTCTAAATCTAACCTAAACCTAAATACAATAGGCCTACAAGTCTACACAAGTATCGTTCTATCTTTCTTGATATTTAGTGATTGACAAAGATAGAACGACACTTGTGTCGATTTGTGTCATCAATTGGAAAGCGCCCATTATTAGCTTTTTTGGTAAGTTTTATTTTTTGTCGGTAAATACGCTCGAGTGAAATATGCTCGAGAAGATATATATAATATCATGTACTGTAAAGACTTTACGAAGATAAATAAAAATGTCTCTTGAGATGAAGTAAATACTTCATTTAAATGTGTGAATAGAAATGTTTACAAATAAATGAAAACCTTTTTCTATGTCCGTGATGACAAACCAGTTAATGGTGGAGAATCCTCGTCTTTTGATAACAAATCTGAAAAAACGCTGTAAGGAATATTAAAATCAAACAAGAGAAAACTATATGAATAGCTAGCACATACTATTGTATTCAAAATTTTGTGCTTGCCTTGGTTCTCTGTGCTGATTTCCTCATAGAGTATGATTGTGAGAAGCTTCACCTAAACAGCTTAGTTATTATTTCGTTACTTAATACCAATAACTGTGATACATTCGGGAAAAATACTTCACAATGAGAAATTTTGATCAAGATATTACAGCGTTCGAAGCATGCGACTATAAGTGTACTCTCTTGCCGAATTGAGAAATAAAGAATAAGTATGAAGGAAAGGCTATACGCGGAATTAATATGCTTTGAATAAAAAACGGTAGATTTTACGTTCCTGTTGATCTAGTCGTACGTATGGAGATGTACCAAACAAGAAATACATAAAAAATGTCATTTTCAGCGACTTAAGGGGATCTTCAAGCAAAGCTCGAACTCTAACGAAATCGCCACATGTCGCCGTTTTTTTTACAACACATCGATATATGATACACGTCTTTTACATACTACCACATTATATATCTTACGTAGACAACGATGCACGCAGTCGCATTATCTATCAATTTTTGTATCGTAAATTTGTCGCGATAAAGTGTCTAAATCTAATTGTAAGAACTCGACGCTGTTTCTTCACGCAAACTATGTGTCTGTGGACTATTTCTTAAGTACAGATTGCGCAGCTTTTATATGAAATAAATGTTGTTACGACGTGCAACGACGTGACAACTCTGGAGCGCTTTATTGGACTAAAAAATGGTAAAAACTCAATTAAAAAATTTTTTATTGTTTTCAGCATAGATTGTACTTCACAGGCACGTATTAATGTGTATACTTTAATCCTGTAAAAGGATTTTCGAATCTGTGAATGACAAAAAAGTATTTACGACACAAAAATTATAGTTTTAGTCGGTTATAGGTTTAATGAGTGATACAGACGACTTTAGGATCCTCTTAATTCCAAATGCAGTTAATAGCCGTTTAATCTCGATGTATATCGATGCGTCAACTGTTGATTTAATGATTTCTAATGGACCTTATGTTATAAATGTGGAATAGAGCAATATATATAAGAACGATTGTGTCCGTACTTCTCTTTCTAAAAGTGTCCAGAAGTACATTTCGCACATGCATGTGATACATACTAATGTTAGATATATGTTGCATTGAAATTATCTTTTTCTATAAGATTTTTTTTACACAAAGTTTTGTTTTGAATATTTTTAATTACTTATATTGTACATTTTCAAAAATTTCAAGAATTTTATTTCATGCTTTGCTACAATATATTATTTTTAATTCTAATACAATGCTAACGCGCCATATGTTTCATTGACATATGTAGGGTATATTTTCGAACACTTTGAGCAAGAGCAACATTTGAAAAGTATGTTTCTCTCTCTCTAACTTTGAAGATTTTTGTACAAAAACTATAGACAATTGCTAGTTCTAAGGTCTATGTGATTCCTTCATTTAAAGCTTAGAAATCATAGTGTTAATATATTATAAGTTTTGTATAATTAGTTCTAAGTTATTGTTAATTGATTTATCCAATGATAAGATTGTATTACCTTCCAATTAGTCTTTGTAAATATAGTGATCTGAAATGCGTCGAGGATAGACATTATAATTATATTGGTCTCCATTTTTCCACAAAGATGTAATAAGTTGCCTCACGTTTTAGTATATCGTGGAACTGCAAAATATATAGTGTTAATAACCCTACGGTTTATTTAGTAACGTATGATGAAACCAATGTATTTTTTCTTTTCCACATATGTAATAAATTTATATTTATCAAACAGAACATTTGCGCTTTGTAATTAAAGAAATTGCATGTAGTGTTATGAGAAATGTAAATAAGTTACGCGCAATTTATTTTTAGTTATTCATACTATTAAGTTCCATACTATTAAGTTATGTAATCTGCGCATGAGAGCGTTAAAATATTCTATGCGAACATCGTTGTAGAAAGATGTCAAAAGAAATTGTCAAAACTGTACACCGCTATCCAATATGTAATCCGAATACATTCATTAATGACGCGCTTACCGAAAGTCTGGATACTCTACCTGTGTGCGAGGAGAAGCTACTCTCTTTTACTGCTCTCCCAATTCAATCGTGGTCCATTGTGTCCTGCTTTATGGAGTTGCCGGTTACGGTCAAAGAGGAACTTGCTGTCAAGGACGCACATTCTCTATTAAGGGCATAGACATCGCCTGTGACAATGAAACGTCTATTATGTACCAGCTCTGCAATCAATGGTACGCTCTTCCACTTCAGTTGGAGCAAATCAAGAAATCTGAAATACTTATTCTTCTAATAACAAAATGGGTAGTTATGGAGATGAGAGAAGCCAGTGACCTTGACATGTTGTCATGACCCTGAGAAATCGCCAACAATTTTTAGCCGTCGCCCGCTTTTAAAAAGTTATTTAATAGTACACAACTTTTTGAGATGTATAATTGTATTTTTCTACAAAGATTTTTTAATTCTACATAATACTTTACTCAACATTATTATTAATAGGATATATTTCACTCAAACAAAAAATGCTTCAATTCTTTTTTCAAATAAATAAATTATTTTAAATAAAAATTCAGCAAAATAATATTTATAATGTTTCTCGCGTATTCCGTACATATAACAAGGAATTACACTACGTATATCGCGCCATATCCTTTCAATATTGTGTATATGACATGAATTTATAGGATTAACAAAATTTTGTGAATGGTTAACGCAGTAGCATGAATATATTATAATTATGCTGACTCATTAATGAATATTCACGCCAACAATCGTGTGAAAAATCGCTTCGCATGGAAAGTCGAAATTTATGTAACTTCGCGCAAAAAGTTGTGTGCTCCCATGGTAAGGGGGAGGGGAAGTGAGAGTCGCTTCGTATGGAAAGTCATATTTTCTTGTTCAGTTAATCCCATATCTCCTGGTCCCATAGCTATCCTGAGTTATCTAACTTTTCAGGTAAAACAGAGAAATAATAACTAATTTTGACTGTTAATAACTTTTTACTAACTAAAAACAATAATTATATGAAAAACTAACGTTTCCAAAGAAAATTCGTGTTTTTAAAGCAGGAAAATAATTTTAAAGCAGAGAATTTTTGTTCTATATGGTAGAAAAGAAATATTATTTCTTCATACCTTTTTAACGAATAACGGGCGATGGCTAAAACTTGGAGGTTTTTCAAGATCATAACAACATGTCAAGATCAAAGTAATCGAAGCTAGCTTCCCTCATCTCCATATTTATCACAATGTTTGCAGAATGTCGACAGATTGTTAGTAGATTTGATCAAAGATGTTAACAGACTGATCTCAAGTGATATCGCATTCTGCTTCTGTTTTGTTGAACATTCTATGTCAACAGAATGCAGGCAAAAATTGAACAGAACGCTTGTTGATATTCTGTACTAGAAAATTGGCAGCAGAAATCGAGCAGGATCTGTTAAGAGTATCTGGTGATAAATTAGTAGCAGAAACCGAGCAAAATCTGCGCAACACAATCTGATGGCAGTAGACATTGAGCAGATCGTGCTGTCTTTATGTATTAAAATTGTAACGTTATTACTTTAGAATATTTCTATATATTCTATCAGCCGATCCTGTTCCATTTCTGCTAGAAATTTGCTAATATTGAATTTCAACTTACGTGTTATCGTCAGAACGAAAACAGTGCGACATTAGTTGAGGTCAATTTGCTAATATTTTCTAATCAAATTTGATGCCAGTCTATCGACATTCTACTAACATTTTGCTTACGGAACAGTCTCTGATTAAGATTTGTTGCTTTTCTGGCGTCAAAAATAATCATAACAAACTCTGTTCAAATCTGTTTCTGTAGGTTTAGCTATCTGGGTCAAGAGAGTGTTGCCCTGGGGTCAGTACTACGCATATATCCAACAACAATGAGCCTGGGGCTTCAGAGGAAGTTAAGGATAATATCCTCTACAAGAAGGTTTCTGAACCGGATTAGCTGTCTTGGATTACAGGAATTGAAGTTTCATTATCGGTCTAGCTGTAGCAATTGTTCTCATTGGTTTTATGAGAACCTACCACTTCAGTGCTTAGGGACGCACCTATTCATTTGAAGTGACACTTAATGGTTTCTCAATCGAAGCATTCAAGTTTGAAAGATATTTTGAGATTCCATCCAAGAACGAAGTTTTTGCACTTCAATATCAGTGGTACGTAATAATAGTTAAGTGAAAGTGATATATATCTTCATAAGTGTCACAATTATCTTTGTGTTCCTAGTCAAAGGCGCTACTACAGACCGGCATTCCGAAGGAATTGATTGCAGATGGCTTTTACTCGATTGGAGCAACGGATAGACAAGTGTATCCATTCGATGCATCAGTAGTCGAACTCCCAGTTCGAACTCGCAACTGCGAGACGCCGCTCTCTCTTGAAGATAGAAGTGTAACATTGGCATCCCAAAGGCTGGGACAATGGCCGTCACTTATACGACTATAAAAAGGAACAATTTATTCAGTGACGATCAGTGATTTGAAACGCGTCTCATGTATACCTATATATACATATTTATGTAATAATTCCGAATTGAATATCGTACGATAGCATGGAATTACAATCGATAGGATATATACTGTATTATCTGCATAGAAAACAGATTCGATTAAAACCAATTAAATACGTTACGATTTGATATTATTTTACATTTTTGTGGTGGCCGATAGATCTGTTAAACAACGATACATTTATACAGAAATCTTATCGATTTTAACCGTTTCCTATTATATTTTATTTATCAGGGAGTGCACTTATATCCACTGTTCACACGTGTTGCGCGCGGGGAATCGCTACGAGCGAAATGACGATCGTTAATTTTCGTTTGGGGCTGCTACACACACTGACACACATACACACGCACACACACGCACGCACATCCTACACGTACACAGATGTTTTTCGCGCGCGGCTCAGAACCGTGTATGAATTTCTGGGTTATAGTTATTGCATTATACCTTACAACACTTCGTTATATTGAATTTTATATCGATCAATAAATTTTCGCGCGATTAAAATTATTCAAAAGTATAACTGTAATAAAAATACAGTTATTTTCTGATAATATCCGATCTTTCAATTGCGATCAGTCCAAATAAAACTGCTGCAGTAATACGGGAGATTTCAAAATCGTGTTAAAAAAATGTATTATTTTATCACACACAGACACACACACTTCGTTGATGATTTATAGATTTTTTTCAATCGCATAAAGAGCCAAGACCATGTAAAGAGGGGAGAGTGCACAACGAGCATCGCACTATGGTCTCCAGTGCTAAGAGAGGTCTCGGAGTTTTATTTAAATATAATATACATGTTCAAAAAAGGATACTTAAAATTTTAAATCTTTTTATCTAATAATAATATATTACCAGGAAAAGTAACTGATATATTAGATATTAGCCAGTACAAAGTAAACATACATAAAGTGTATATAACTTTCGGTGATTTTTTTGATACACACTGTATAACAGCTGCTGTATATTCATTTCACTATTCTACACTCTCAGTTGTGAAGATTATTTATCTTCTTCAGAAGAGAGAGATACATTTTATATTATCAGAAGTGGAATAGAATTTAAACTCTCTTACGTAATTACAGCCTATATAAATAATCTTACAGATGTAAACATTATATTGTATTGTATTATATCTCAACAAAATTATCTTTTTAAAAAAAGGGAAAATGTGTTCGCCTCATAAAAAACTGTTACATATTATATTGTAAATCTGAGTTGTGCTAGCCTACCACAAGTCAATATAAGACTCAGTGTCTTCGGCGCAACGATATTAAGGGCACTTTACTCTTGTGCATAGCTTTCGGCAATCTGCTTTTCTGTCAATTATTCAGGTTTGCGATGCTTCGGTGTGAACATTATTGTAAATCTAACCTAGCACAACTCAGATATGTAATTTTATTTGAATAACTGATATGTAAGCGTCACTTTTATTCCGAAAAAAAATTGTGAAAAATTGTTTTTTATCATAGATTCATTGTTAAATTAAACGTTTTTTATTATACATATAACTGACTCTTAGCCCTTCAATTGTTCTCTAATTGTTCTTACAGAGCCTATTATTATTTATTATATTATTTATTATTCTGTTATTGTCATTATTTTATGGTATCACTTTGGCACAATATTCGAGGTTGCAGTGCACCAAATATCGCCAGATCAATGTTTAATTGCAACACAAGCTATCCGTACTAGATGCAATACTTGCATTGCTGCAAGAAACCAACAATATATATACATTAAGGGGGGAAACTAGTGTAAAATTTTGAAATTTTCGAAAATTTAGTTTTTCGCTTAAAAGGTGCTTTAGGGTTTTAAGAATAACATACTAAAACATGGAATGCGGCAGAAGTGCCTAAATGTCCAAATTGAAGCCTCTCAGGTATACGCCGAGCGTGTTTTGTGTACCGACCGCGCGCTGTAATTTGAGTGCGGGATCAGGTATAACGGCAGTCGGAAATGAAGGGACTGCCTTCCGAAATGTCTAGAACTTGAAAGCGGTTCGAAAGGAAAAAGACGAACAGGACGTGAACTTGGAAGGCCAATTGTATGGTGCAGGCATCGCAGATTAGAGGTATATAAGAATATTATACGATTTAACAGCACTTAAAACTTTAAACGCGTTTTTCTCGAAACCACTTTTTTTTAAATGGGCGAACACGTAACTCGAGCAAATATTTACCGATCGATTTAAAATTTTTACAGTATATTCGTAATACCTTTGTCTATCGAGCAACGTAGGATTTTTTTTCTATATCGCATACTTTTTTTTTTATCAACAATTTATGACGTTTTTTTTCTTCAAAATTTTAACTTTTTTTTCAATCGTGCACCATTTCGCGAAAAATCAATATATCGAAAAAATCCTACGTTGCTCGATAGCTGCTGTTATATAGAAACTAAAAAACTTTGATTTTTTGTTCCAGGTCAAAAATTAAAGAGGTTAGATGTTCGCCCATGGACCAGCTTCCAAAAATAGGCGCCTTGGGACATATGCTGCGCAGCCGCCATTTTTAGTTCTATTTTCTTCAAAAAATTATATTTTGTACTTTTTTTTGTATTATTATTAAACCTACTTTACAGATTTTCGATTGATACTTTTATTGAACCAAAAAAAATTTCAGAAATATAGGCGGATTTTTCATGCGTTACACTAGTTTTCTCCTTTAAGCAAATAAATACAACGTGAGTAAATAATAAAAAAAGTACGAAAATGAAAACTACGTTTTGTCTTTTTTGCAATTTTTTTCCAAAACAAATTTCGGGATAAATTTCTTAATTCGGGATCCGATATTTGATATGAAACAAGATCTTTCTGACCAGTGCCGGCTTTAGGCCATGTGCGATGGTGCAGCGCACTCGGTCCCGCGTTTTACTTACTGTAACGACATAACGAGATAGAAAATTGTTGGACCTCTCACTTCCACATGTGCGGATAAAATTAAATCTGTTCTTTATTCCTGCACCGTGTGCACCAGTTTAGACAGTGCAGGAATAAAGAAAAGACCTATTCTTACAATAAAATTTTGTAATAAAAGATTTTATATTAAAAATTTTATTATAAAACATTAAACTTTTAAGTTTATTTTATTTTATATTTATTTTATATATATGAAATAAAATAATTATGATTTGAAATAAATTATTTCATTTTCAAGAATCAGTCTCGCATTTTTATGCACCCAGCCCCGCATTAACTAGAGTCGGCACTGTTCCCGACCGATCTTTAAACTTTTAAGTTTAGAAGCGTCTTTATATGTGCCATGTAATTAAATGTAGAATCCACAAGGAAAAAAGCAATGTATAGAAGCAAGGACATAATTGATTGGTGGAAGTGTAATGTTACACGGTTTTTGATATTAGCAGCAGTAGCTAGATCACATGTAGGATGTAGGATTCACATCCAATTCCGATTAATAATAGAAAATTTAACGTTAATGAAAATAAATTATTTAATAAAAGGACATATTTCGTTAATGATTTAGCGGAAGGTACGTTCTAGTATATTTTTGATATGGATACTCCCGTTTTATTTTAGATATACGTTAACGATATTGTTATGGCAATTTAATTGACTCTACACTTAAAATATTTAGTTCTTTTCATGAGAGATTGCAGTTCACTGTGGAAGCAGGGGGGAGAAATGACAAAATGATTTTTTTATATCTCTTACGATAATTAATAATAACAATGTTATTGAAACTGATTGACATCAAAAACTTATGTGTTCTGGATGTTATCTAAATTTTCTATATTATATCACACCCATTATCAAAGCATAATAATTGGAATGACAGGCAAAGTTTTTCGGTTATCGCATTTGAATGCCACCAAAAAACATTAAATATATAATCAACACCTTACCAAAAAATGATTATCCTATATACTTTATTTTCAATACAATAAATTCACGTTTAAATTATTTATTCAATAAATTTAGAACAAAAAATCAAAATGACAATAATACGATAAAGAAGGAGTAAGACTCTTGGTTCGCATTATCTTATATTCCTGATGAATATGTGACGCTGAAAGGATAATATACTAACAGTATAATATACTAATAGTACATTACAAAATACTAATGATAGTAAATAGATTGGCACATAAATCAACCGAAAGAAAGAAAAAGAGAAAGATGTATTGCGATGCACACACTGCACGATGATCTGTTCAGCTCGACCTGGTTTCCAAGAAAAGTCGTTCGCCTCTTGCTATGCTTAAGATCGAAGAAGAGACAAAGAAAAGGACATGCCGCCGTTATGGGTGGTAGGATAATCTTCCCGATTCTGAACTGTGGAAAGCATCTTTCCTCTTCCTTCTTCCAACCATCTTCCTCGTCTCCACATCTCTGACGAATTCGAAAGAATTAGTAAAAATTTTAATATAAAACTAGCTTCCAAAAGTACAAATAAAATCAATTTTATTAAAGTGCACAAAAATATTCTCCCAAAAGAATTTAAGAAAAATGTTTACAAAATTTTTGGTAACAAATGTAGAGCAAATCGGCGGAAAACTTAAAACCAGAATATCTGAATGTCGTTGTTACATTAATCATAAAACGAATACTCAATCAGTGATCACAGATCACAGATCACAGAATTAAATTTAGTCATGATTTCGATTGGGAGAATGTAGAAATACTGAACGTTTTTTAAATAAAAACGTTCTACGAATTATTAAATATCAAAAGATTGATATCAGAATGCTTTCACATCACAATAAGTAAAAATTTATAATATATCGTTATAGATTTCCTAGCAATCCGAAAAGAAAAGCCAAATGGATGGAGATTATGAAATTGCAAAAAAAGATTATTGGTACAAATAGTCGGCTTTGTTCTTTACATTTTGAAGAAAAATTTATTCCTCAAGTAAGTACTTTATAAATATAAAATATATTATATTAAAGAAGATAACATTGTGGTGGTCAAATCTTGACCACCACAATGTTATCTTCGGATTTTTATCTCTTGACTATTTTTATATTAATTTGTTGTGATTCCGATGATGATTTATTATTATTTTAATACAACTTTATCTTGTAATCATGGATTTGTCGGTGAGTGTTCACTTTCATCTTTCTTCAATAATTGTCATTAATTTTTAATTTTTACTTAGATTTACGTCTAGTCGTTTGCACATGACCTACCAACCATGTGGATTTAATTGTTTGACGTTGAGAGTGATCACTTTCTTATTGATCCATGCCTTTTTTGTGAATTTACTACTGAAGATGGCCCGGATGTTAGGCCGAAACGTATAGTATTTTATATTTGATATTTTTTGATTGTTAACAAATATATAATTTTTTTTATAATTTCGCATTAATAACAGCGAGTTTACTCTCATTAGTCTATTTATTTTTTGTATTTGAAATTTTTGAGAGTCGATTTTTACTTTTAATTTTATATTATATTATTTAATTAGTGTATATATATTAAGAGAAAGAGAAAAAGTATGAAAATTAGATAATACATTAAAATTGATACAATATTTATATAGTAAAATACATAATATAATTGTAATAAATAAATGTTTATAGATATTTGAAGATATATATAACGAAAAAAACATGACGCAAATATAATTATTACAACAAATGATACCTTTGCAGTTACTTGAAAATATATAGCAAATTGATAAGCAGCACATATTGTTTACATGTAAGTAATAGATAAAAAATGTATGCAATAAACAAGTGACTTTTATTTAAAACAATAATAATTTTGAGTAAAACAATAAATATAAAGAAGGCAAAGAGTCAAGTAAATTAACAAACCATTCAATTTAAACAATTATACAAACATATAGAAATCAAACGTTTCGACTTCGATCAGGTCATTTTCAATGTTACATAAATTATGAAGTATTTTTATTCTTCATTAAGTATTATAAATATTCTCAATTCAAACTAAGATTCAGTTGATATCGTAAGCATAATTAATCCTAATAGAAAAATACATATAAAAATAAGGAATTAACAATATTCTAAAACATAATGTGTGAATATAAAAGTTTTTTTACCTTTCCAAAAATAAAAGAAAAAGAAGTAACAAGTCCATGAATAAAAATTAATCTTCCAAGTCATAATAGTAAAACGTACAGTATATAATTGAAAATTAAGTAAGATAATTTGCAGCGAATAAAAATGAGTACTGATCTTTGTGATGACAAATAAGATAATGTCGATGGTCTATTAGAAAGTCATTATGAGAGGAAAAAGAGGAAAACAGCAAGGAAAGACAATTTAAGATCTGAAAAGGGAATAGTGTGTCCGATGAATACACCTAATATTCGAATAAATAAATAAAAAGTGAATGAAAATACACATTCGAATACATTTCTTTTTTATTCGCCAAGAAACGAATAAATATTTTTTCATTCCATTTGAATGAATATTTTTTGAATATGATACGAATATTTTCGTTTTGTATTCACACTTTTGCTTTGGTACAAGAGCGTACCTATTTTCTTATGATCCTGACTTACTTGTAAATAAACGTAATCGTTTAACTGCTGATACAGTTTTTATATTGCAACGCGGAACGAGAGCAGAACCAATAACAAGCATTCCGTGTTTCTAGAGAAACACATGATTGGTTCTGCTCTCGTTCCGCGTTACGCTATTCCGCTGCATGGGTTTGCACCCTTAGGGCGGGTTCACACCTTGACGGAAAAGCAGAATGCGGAAAAGCAGTAGCCAATCGAGTAGTCGACTTTCTGTTAGTTTTGTACTTTTTACTACCAAGGCGAGTTCTGATCGGTTAACTGCTCTTCCACTTTCCGCTTTTCCGTCAAGGTGTGAACCCGCCCTTAGACAAAGCCTGGCTGCGTTCTATTTCACGCATATACGTGCATTCCCCTATAGTATACGTGACGCTCACTATATAAAATGCGCGCATATGCCTGAAACGGAACGCAGCCAGGCTTTGTCTAAGTCTAATTCTAAGAACTCTACGCTGTTTCTTCATACAAACTACGTGTCTGTGAACTATTATTTCTTAAGTACAAATTGCGCAGCTTTTATATAAAACAAACGTTGTTACGACGTGCAATGACGTGACAGCTCTGGAGTGCCATATTGGACTAAAAAATGGTAAAGAAGAACTCAATTTTGAAATTTTTTATCGTTTTCAACATACATTCTACCTCACAGACACGTATTAATGCGCATACTTTAATTCTGTAAAAGGATTTTCGAATCTGTGAATGACAAAAAAAGTATTTACGATACAAAAATTATACGATTTAGTCGGTAATAAAGGAAGCTTTAGGATCCCCTTAACCGTAACCGTAATTTTAGTAGTTTTCAACACGTATGTACAATCAGATAGAGCCAATACAAGTGAAATTCCGTAACCGTAATTTTAAAGTTAGTCGTAAAAATTTCGTCATGTTGGAATTTTACATTTAACGCCTTAATGCCAACCAATAGGAAATCTATCAGGTTAATTTATACACTATTTTAGCACTGGCGGTCGCAGTTTTTGTTTCTGATGTTTGGAAAGAAGATAATTCGGATCAAACAATAAAAGGAAGGTTAAAGTTACGGTTAACACTTTTTTACGTGCAAAAAGGCCTTATCTGATTTTGAGCGTTAACGCGTCAACTGATACCCATGAAAAAGCACCTTTATGTTTGCTGAATGCGCCCATTGTCACGTAAGAAAAAGCAGAGCTTTCATTGGATATCACTCGTTGTTCATCCTTCATCGCATCCAATCGCATTCGGTGTGCAGTAGGCATATGGTCGGTGAGCGGTGGCGCCCTCGAATGGCCACTTCCGCCGGTTACGGTCAGCCATAATGCTTGTCGCAGCGATCCCAAAACAGTCGCAGATGGCTACGTGAATGTGTAACAACCGGTTCCGGCGCAGTATAGTTTAGTGATACTGTGGTTTAGTACTCGCAGTTAGAATAATCGCACTGTACATTGCCACTGTCGATTTTTACATTTACTCGCATTTCCTTCGCGTTGTGTTGTGGGTGCAGTGCATTGTAACTGTTTTTCTCTTGTTTTCAATATCGCGTCTCCTCGTTGCAGCTGCCTCTCCCCGCTGTTCCGTTGTTCCGGTACACATATCTGCTCCACAACCGCGTCCTAATCCGATCGTGGGGAAGCCGCGCCGAAGATGAGTGCTAATGCTAACAACGTGCAGGCAGCGCTCTTCGCATGCTCCCGGTGTTTCTCCAGACATCCCTTCGAGGACCTTTCGCCTGGACAACAGTTGTGCAAGGTACGTATGTACACCGCGTGCTATATCTATTCTTTGCGAGCGTCTGACGAGCGTTCAGGAGGATTCCTTGGTCTCGAATCAACGCGATCTGCAGCATTGAGGAAATATTTTAGAAGGCTGCCTTTGTCAATTGAAATCACTACTGAATGTAACGATTTAACACATGTTTTAATTAGGAGCGAAATTCTTTTTTCGATAACATTTTTCGTCCTGTTTGTAAAACGTAAATTTTGTGTAAATACGTTGTGTATGTACGTAACTGAGAAGAAATTTCAAATATGCTTCAGTATGTAACTGTATGTAACTGAGAAGAAATTTTAAGTATGATTCAGTAGGTTGTATCTTGTTCGAATACTAGTTTTTTGTCACGTTGTACTGTAAAACGTGATTATTTACGAAAAAGTAATTGTTTGAAATAGAAAATTTAATATAAATAAGTGAAAAGGCCATATTCAATTAAAGCGAGTCTTTATGCGAGTCTTAAGTTTTGAATTTGGAGAGTCCATAAGGAGATTACGTCTGAATTAGTTTATGCCTAATATTTTGTACGGATTAACAATTTCCAATTCAAATAAACTGTGTATTATATTTGTTGATAACGAAACTGTAAATTTTTTTTTCCGTTTTTCGTATTGAAATGTAGCTAGCACCCTCCGTTTTTGTCGATACTTTAATTATGCAGAATGATTTTTCCATCCGTAAATGCAATTAAGAGAAACGAGTCTTTAACTGACACTCCAGCATCCCCTTAAGTAACACAGTAGCGCTTATAAAGCGATTACATGTGTAAAACGATTATATATGCAATGCGATTACAAACGTCTTGCAAATGTTTGTTTTAACGCTTTGCAAGCACTTGTGAACGCTTTGTAAGCGCTGTGTAGAAGTAAACGTCGCGTTTGATATCCTGACGTACCATAGATACATGTGTAGTACATAATCCGTAACGGTTATACCACCGCAGGGGCTAGAAAATGCACAGCACATTTAACGCATTTTGAACTAATCTATAGTCAAATATGGTTTTGTTTGTCAATCTTTTAAAGCCCAATATAATTGCATAAACGTAGTTATAGTTGTATTGATCAATTATGCGTCGTCTACGGTGAGCACTAGCAGTGTCCTAGCAGTGGTACTATAGCAGGAGCAATGGCAGGGCTGCAAAACACGTCGGGAGTAAATTGATTTTTCAGTATAATAGAGCGTAAGTGCGTAAGTGAATGATTTAGATTTTAGAAGCATTTCTTATGTTCTATTCACTTACAACTATGTTTATGCACTTGTAGATCAGGCTTTATGGCAGTCATTTTCTAATATTATATATTATATTTTGCATGATGCCATTATAGTACATACGTTTGAGATCATTTACATTTTAAAATAATTTAAAAACAACAATGGGTTAAATGATACGTAAGAGTCAGTTAATAATTTCAAATATGTAAGACAGTAAAAATTAAGAATCCATTACTATTTATTATTCTGATTAAAATAATTTCTTCATTAATAATATTTTTAGCATTAAGATGTAAGTGTTCAGTTTTGCTACGCTATGAATTCCTAATGTCTGTTCCACGCGTATTGAATTTTAGTGATGGAAAGATGACATTTACTTTCCACCTATTTTATTTCGAAATATAGATTTGAAGTTTGGAAAGTAGTGTAGAGAGTGTAACACGTCACGTATAGTTTATAACGATTCAAATGTGTTATAAAAAAATACATCCGCGTCATGTAATAGAAGTGCGGATCACAAAGTAGATGAAGAAAATGTTCCAGCCTTTCTCCTCAATTGTTCGGAATAAAAGCCATTTTATTTTTCAAATTGCATTCGTACTGCTGGCTTCGTATAATGTTAAATTGACGACTCTTCGCATTGTAATTGATTTTATATTGGCAATCTTTTTGTAAAATTTTAAAATCTATTATACCGATATTGCAGTGCAGTACCTACTTGAACTGCAATCCCGGGCTCGGAATATTGAATTATACAATTTCAGAGACGATACTTACATTTCTGTGAATTCAGGGCGAAATGAGTGTTCTGTTTCACAGAATAATTGTATTATATTATTCATATGTATGAAAATGTTCTACAGATCTGTGTGTGCGTGCGTGTGTGTATGTAATACGTGCTTACTAAGCATCAGTGTAAACGTGACTTTTGGCGAATTTGGTTGACCGAATATTACATTTTTACATACTGACAGAGATCAAAGCCATTAAATTGGTTTAATTTGATATAAAATGTGAAATGCATACATTTCAAATTATAATAGAATAGGTACGTATTTTTCCTAACAATATGATATAAAATGTATTGAGGACTTGGCGGTTCACCTGCGATATTTCTGGCAACTCATTTGAATCAATATTGAATAGCGCATTTAGCATTCAACACGTATCTACACTCTTACTTTCTTCAATTTACATTCCATTGCGCCGCGTAACGACGCGATGGAATAATGAATGCATGAATAAATACGCACGTATATATGTATGTAAATATAATTTAGTATGGTTATATTACTGACAGAGAAAAATTTATATTAATCACACTGTTTCACACTAAATCGTATACGATGGCTTTGATGTGCATCAAAACGCACCGATTACGTCCAATCGATATTTGCCTCGCAAATCACGTACGATTTCTCGTATAATACGGATGTGCGTACAGTGACTTGCTGCATGCTAAAATATTTTCGGTAATTCTCTTGCAATAAAATACCATTGTTCGCCAGCTAGACTAACGGAATTTGTGAACAATTGCAAGACCACTCTCACTTCCGTTTACACAAAAATTAACAATACTGAAAATAAATTTCTTTTTCCACATGACTCTGTTGTATAAATTTACACCCATATATTTATGCATTTCGAATAACTCTAATATTTTTTTCCTCACGCGTGCACGTAATGTGCCCTATACTGCAATGCTTTTGCGTGCGGTAAATAGCCAATAACTCAAGCCGTTGAGTTATTTCGCAAAAGCGTTGCGTTATGAAAAATAACGCAACGCTGTGGTAGGGTGGTAGCACTGGTAGCACGAATAACAACACAGAGAAACCTAAATAACGCAAGGCAGTGGTAGGGTGGTAGCACTGGTAGCACCAATAACAATACAGAGAAACCTAACCTGCGTCGACGCTGGCGCCCGCCCGCCCGGTGTTCGTTCGAGTCGCGCCGTTTTTCATCTTTGTTCTCATTTGACTTTTGTTACTCGTCGCCTGTAGCAGCTTTTCGATACTGGCCATATCGTCCCGATAGATACGCACGCACGCACGCACGCACGCACGCACGCACGCACGCACGCACGCACGCACGCACGCACGCACGCACGCACGCACGCACGCACGCACGCACGCACACAGACACACACACACACACACACACACACACACACACACACACACACACACACACACACACATTTACTTGTAGTGAGTGATTTACTGTTTTTACAAAAAAATGTTGCAATCTTTTATTAAACGACTATATTAATCTAAATGATAAAACTTTATAACTTATGTATATATGTGTATATATTTATATGTATATAGATGGATGCAGTAGATACGAGCATGTGGAAGGCTGGATTTAGAACCTAAAGGTCCAGAATATGCTTATTACAATTGCTGTTTGTGCCATTTACATTTTGAAAAAAAATGGTACAATATTAACAAAATTAGAGCTCGTCTTCACCCAGATGCTATACCTACTCTATTTGGAGTGCATATTAATAAACAAGAGTGAGTTTTTATTTTTATTATTTATTTTTTTATAATTTAGTTTATTTAGATTTAATCAAATTGAGTAATATACTGTGCATACATAGAAAGCAGTACATATAAAATAATATATAATAATTTTACAACAATATAATTACTTTAATAATGAGATGTGTATAATTAATCAAATAATATATGTATAGTAATAATATCTATTAATAATAGTTGTTATTTTATGTATTATTAAAATAATTTATAAATACAGAAAATGGTTCTTTTTTCAGAAATGTTGTTCAACTGTATTCAATTAATGAAACAGAAAAAGAAGATAGATTCACAGAAAAAATAAATAGGTATATTTAAACTGTTTTATATTTTTTTATATAATAATATTTTATGAAGTTATGATATATATATTCTTTTATTGTAGAAATGTATGCAGAGAGACCACTGATGTTGAAATAATTCAAATGCAAGAAGAGACTAGGTAATTTATATTAATAGACAACATTTTTATTTTTAATAAAAGTATATAATTTTTTATGATATTTTCAGTAATGCTAGCACTTCACAAACAATTCTGCCAATTACTATCCATGACATAGAGGCTGAAAAAGTTAAACCGTAAGTTTTCGTTTAATAAGTTATCTATTATAGTAAAGCATATATTTTTATTTTTTCATTTATAATAAAATATTTTTACAAACATTTTCTTATTACTAGAATGTGTAATTAAAAAATTAATCTATTATATTTCTATTTTTTAACTTTATCTTTTAATACTACTCAAATTTATTTCTTTTGTTAGTAGAATTTACTAGATTGTTCATCATATTCCAAAAAAATCTTCACTAATTTAATGGATTTGTATCATATTACAGAAGTACATCCAGGAGTCAAGATAATAAATCGTTGGATGATAGCCCAAAGAAAAGGAAATTGCAGCCGGGCGAACCGCCGACCAGTGATGCACATTGGGGTCCCAGCACACCGCGTTCGGCTTGACTCGGCTAAGAGAGCGCAACAGCACGATCTGCTGTCCTTCAGCCTTCGACGCATGCGCACTAGCCGAGCGCGAGCGAGATGGTAAACGCTACGTCACGATCGAGACCCTCTCGCTCGTCCGCTTGTCGCGAGCGACTGAAAATGTTTCTCGGCCGACTCAGCGTGCCGTGTATTGATATAAGGGATGAGAGCATATGACATATAAGTTTAAATAAATTTTTGTAATAGTATACCTTTCCCATTAATCCACGATGGCATAAATTATGTCAAAATGCGATAGTTTACAAGATATTAATTGTTTACAATTTCCCATGCGAGTAATATACCTCGTTTATAAGAACGACTTATAAGTATTCTGCATGGTCGAGCGCGTAAGGTGCGAGATTAGAATGCTGGAGATCTTATGTTCAAATCTTTTAATTTTGTTCCCTCTATTTTATTTTTTTTTCTAAAATAAGTACAGTTATTAGTAAACATATTAAAAATACAAAAATACAAAAAAAGATAAAAAGAACAAAAAATAAAAAAAAAGTAAAAAAAGGTAAAAAATAAAGTAAAAAAAAAGGAGTGTAAAATTCTATCTGCAAACCTCCTCGTGGTGCACTCTGGGGTCGTGAAAATATTTAAAAATATATTACGTTTTCACCAGCTAATGCAGGGGTAACAGAAAATTGTTGATATTTTGTACTAAATCTTTTTTTTTTTTGCTTTTAGGGGCGGCAAAATGTACGCTGCCTAGGGGCGGCAAAATGTTTAATCTGTCGCTGATTGTTCATCATATTCCAAAAAAATCTTCACTAATTTAATGGATTTGTATCATATTACAGAAGTACATCCAGGAGTCAAGATAATAAATCGTTGGATGATAGCCCAAAGAAAAGGAAATTGCGTTTGAGGATTAAGAGATTGCAGATACAAAATAATACACTACGTCAAAGAATTCGACGACTCCGTTTGGAAAGAAAGAAAAAGAAGGTAACACTTAAAAAAGAAAATGAATTTGAGCGTTTGAAAAAATTAGGCCGTAAATTATTACCCGAACAATTTAATAAAATTTTAATGGCACAAGTCAACGCACAACTTAAAAGTAAACGTGGTAGAAGATATGATCTCGAATTTAAAAAATTTGCATTGTTAATTTATTTTTTAAGTCCACGAACTTATCGGGAATTGCAACAATCTATTGCATTGCCTTTTGTACGTTCTTTACATTTATTTACAGAAAGATAGAATATCTTACCGGGTATAAATGATAAAATTTTTGAAGCCTTAAAATTAAAATTAAATTCATTACCATTGATAGAACGTCATTGTGTGTTATGTGCAGATGAAATGAGTTTAAAAAGTCATTTGTTCTATAATGTATCAAGAGATGAAATTATTGGATTTGAGGACAATGGTGATAAAAAAATCATGTGTGCCTGCAAAAAGTGCTTTTGTTATAATGGCACGTAGCATTGCAGGCGAATGGAAACTGCCCGTTTACTTCTGTTTTGTAGAGACTACGTGTCATAGTAATGTATTAAAAAATATTTTATTTGATATTATAATTAAGTTAAGAAATTGTGGTGCTATGGTGCATGCATTAATAACAGATATGGGTTCTAATTTTATACAACTATCTCGTAATTTAGGAATCTCAACAGAAAATTCTACCTTTTCAGTTAACGAAGAAAATGTAGTTTACATTTTTGATACTCCACACTTAATTAAAGCAACTCGAAATAATTTATTAAAGTACAATTTTAAAATTAATGACAAAATAGCTTCTTGGGATCACATTGTACAGTTTTATAAATGAGACAGCACACAATGGATAAAAGCAGCTCCTAAATTATCGATGGATCATATACAGCCAAATAATTTTACAAGAATGAAAGTAAAGTATGCTGTACAAGTATTCAGTAATCATGTAGCTGCAGGAATGTGTACGCAAATGTCTTTTGGTTTTCTTCCAACTGAAGCAGTTGGGACTATAGATTTAATAGATCATTTTAATAAATTATTTGATATTTTAAATTTGCACTTCTTTTCTTTAGAATTGTTATTCTATAGTCCCAAAATTATTTTAAAAATTATATTTCATTTTCCGATTAGAAGCAAATATCGACATTATTATCTACTTTTTAATCAATATGAAATTCAACTTTTTAATGTTGTAATTTCAATAACGAAACTTACCCTTCCTTCTTGAAATACATTGCGCAAAAAATCCATGACCAAATCACATTGGCTCGAAGAGATACTAGCGATGACGAAAAGCGAACAAATTATTTCGGCTTTCATAGTTTTTGCTATTAAAAAATGTAGCGAGCGTTTCAAGTATATTGTCTACCAAAGAAGGTCCTCTTTCAATTTTCTTTAGACTTTTCTACACTCGAAATTACTCCATGTTAAAAGATTTTGTTCGATCTTTTCTTCTTCAGCTCGCCACCAATGCGTTTCTTCCAATTCTACACAACGCGAACGTCTCTAACAGATATTCCGCGTCTTTAACTAAAGAGAACTGCAAACTTTGACGTACACATGCAAACCGTTAATTACACATAAGTACATACATACGACGAGTCATATCAATAAAGCCGCTACCAGATTGTTTATTTAACGGCGATTATCTATCGCATCGTAGAGAGCTGTTTTCTTGCATAATCCTTCGAGCAATAGATAATTTCCTGATCAATCTTTACTAAATATAAAAGTAAAAAAATTTATATTCTGTAAGTTCTTCTTAACTTAAAACAAAGTGTAGCAGTTTTATTCTACATTTTTTCAAGCAATAATTTACAGTAAAATAGTATTTTATATTTCTGATTATATTTTTGAATGATAAAGTGCTAATTAAATAATATAATACAAAAGGACTTTATTATTTTTTAATTATTATAAATTCAGAAAAAATAGAAATTATGAATTTTTTTCTGTACATATCGATTAATAATAAAGTTTGAACTAAAGATTAAAATATGGTGCCTTAAGTTTAGTAACAAAATTTACAATTTAATTAAATAAAAAATAAAAGAAAGTATCCTTTCACAGTAATAATATAGTCGTAATTCTTAGTTCTTTCTAGCTCCGTTAACTTTGTTATTTACGATTCGGAGAAAGTGAATATCTTCCGATGTCTTGGTCCGAAATTTGGCCTAAGTTAATCGCTCTATTAAAAACGCATTAAATTCACTTTTTTTTTTTAAATTAAATCACAAAATGACTTACATCATTATGTAGTATTATATCGATGACTATTCTCTCGCAGAAAAAGAAAACAGTCACTCGGAAATGTACAGACAAATGTACAAACAATGAATAAGATTTCCGCATAATTTTAGAAAGGTAAAACAACCGAAAGTATTGACAAAGACTTTGAAAGCTCAGTTATTATTTCGTTACTTAATACCAATAACTGTGATACATTCGGGAAAAATACTTCACAATGAGAAATTTTGATCAAGATATTACAGCGTTCGAAGCATGCGACTATAAGTGTACTCTCTTGTCGAATTGAGAAATAAAGAATAAGTATAAAGGAAAGGCTATACGCGGAATTAATATGCTTTGAATAAAAGACGGTATAGATTTTACGTTTCTGTTGATCTAGTCGTACGTATGGAGATGCACCAAATAAGAAATACATAAAAAATGTCATTTTCAGCGACTTAAGGGGATCTTCAAGCAAAGCTCGAACTCTAACGAAATCGCCACATGTCGCCGTTTTTTTTACAACACATCGATATATGATACACGTCTTTTACATACTACCACATTATATATCTTACGTAGACAACGATGCACGCAGTCGCATTATCTATCAATTTTTGTATCGTAAATTTGTCGCGATAAAGTGTCTAAATCTAATTGTAAGAACTCGACGCTGTTTCTTCACGCAAACTATGTGTCTGTGGACTATTTCTTAAGTACAGATTGCGCAGCTTTTATATGAAATAAATGTTGTTACGACGTGCAACGACGTGACAACTCTGGAGCGCTTTATTGGACTAAAAAATGGTAAAAACTCAATTAAAAAATTTTTTATTGTTTTCAGCATAGATTGTACTTCACAGGCACGTATTAATGTGTATACTTTAATCCTGTAAAAGGATTTTCGAATCTGTGAATGACAAAAAAGTATTTACGACACAAAAATTATAGTTTTAGTCGGTTATAGGTTTAATGAGTGATACAGACGACTTTAGGATCCTCTTAATTCCAAATGCAGTTAATAGCCGTTTAATCTCGATGTATATCGATGCGTCAGCTGTTGATTTGATGATTTCTAATGGACTTTATGTTATAAATGTGGAATAGAGCAATATATAAGAACGATTGTGTCCGTACTTCTCTTTCTAAAAGTGTCCAGAAGTACATTTCGCACATGCATGTGATACATACTAATGTTAGATATATGTTGCATTGAAATTATCTTTTTCTATAAGATTTTTTTTACACAAAGTTTTGTTTTGAATATTTTTAATTACTTATATTGTACATTTTCAAAAATTTCAAGAATTTTATTTCATGCTTTGCTACAATATATTATTTTTAATTCTAATACAATGCTAACGCGCCATATGTTTCATTGACATATGTAGGGTATATTTTCGAACACTTTGAGCAAGAGCAACATTTGAAAAGTATGTTTCTCTCTCTCTAACTTTGAAGATTTTTGTACAGAAACTATAGACAATTGCTAGTTCTAAGGTCTATGTGATTTCTTCATTTAAAGCTTAGAAATCATAGTGTTAATATATTATAAGTTTTGTATAATTAGTTCTAAGTTATTGTTAATTGATTTTTCCAATGATAAGATTGTATTACCTTCCAATTAGTCCTTGTAAATATAGCGATCTGAAATGCGTCGAGGATAGACATTATAATTATATTGGTCTCCACTTTTCCACAGAGATGTAATAAGTTGCCTCACGTTTTAGTACATCGTGGAACTGCAAAAATATATAGTGTTAATAATCCTACGGTTTATTTAGTAACGTATGATAAAATCAATGTATTTTTTCTTTTCCACATATGTAATAAATATAATTACCAAACAGGACATTTGCGCTTTGTAATTAAAAAAATTGCATGTAGTGTTATGAGAAATGTAAATAAGTTACGCGCAATTTACTTTTAGTTATTCATACTATTAAGTTCCATACTATTAAGTTATGTAATCTGCGCATGAGAGCGTTAAAAAATTCTATGCGAACATCGTTGTAGAAAGATGTCAAAAGAAATTGTCAAAACTGTACACTGCTATCCAATATGTAATCCGAATACATTCATTAATTACGCGCTTACCGAAAGCCTGGATACTCTGCCTGTGTGCGAGGAGAAGCTACTCTCTTTTACTGCTCCCCCAATTCAATCGTGGTCCATTGTGTCCTGCTTTATGGAGTTGCCGGTTACGGTCAAAGAGGAACTTGCTGTCAAGGACGCGTATTCTCTATTAAGGGCATGGACATCATCTGTGACAATGAAACGTCTATTATGTACCAGCTCTGCAATCAATGGTACGCTCTCCCACTTCAGTTGGAGCAAATCATGAAATCTGAAATACTTATTCCTCTGATAACAAAATGGGTAATTATGGAGATGAGGGAAGCCAGTAACCTTGATATGTTGTCATGACCCTGAGAAATCGCTAACAATTTTTAGCCGTCGCCCGCTTTTACAATTTATTTAATAGTACATAACTTTTCGAGATGTATAATTGTATTTTTCCACAAAGATTTTTTAATTCTACATAATACCACAGTATGCCATTGTGCCAATAGTACAGTCATAGAAGTCGTGTGCCCCTTTGCAGGGGGGTGGGGGAGGTAAGAGTTATTTCACGTGAAAAGTTTAACGTTTCTGAACAGGGAAAGGTGTAGAATAGTACTTAATATCATACAAATAATAACTAACTTTGACTGTTAATAACTTTTTACTAACTAAAAACAAAACTTATATGAAAAAATAACGTTTTCAAAGAAAATTCGTGTTTTTAAAACAGGAAAATAATTTTAAAGCAGAGAATTTTTGCTCTATATGGTAGAAAAGAAATATTATTTTTTCATACCTTTTTAACGAATAACGGGCGACGGCTAAAACTTGGAGGTTTTTCAAGGTCATAACAACATGTCAAGATCAAAGTCATCGGAGTTAGCTTCCCTCATCTCAATATTTACCACAATGTTTGCAGAATGTCGACAGATTGTTAGTAGATTTGATCAAAGATGTTAACAGACTGATCTCAAGTGATATCGCGTTCTGCTTTTGTTTTGTTGAACATTCTATGTCAACAGAATGCAGGCAAAAATTGAACAGAACGCTTGTTCATATTCTGTGCTAGAAAATTGGCAGTAGAAACCGAGCAGGATCTGCTGAGAGTATCTGATGATAAATTAGTAGCAGAAACCGAGCAAAATCTGCGCAACACAATCTGATGGCAGACTGATTGCAGACAGTAGACATTGAGCAGATCGTGCTGTCTTTATGTATTAAAATTGTAACGTTATTACTTTAGAATATTTCTATATATTCTATCAGCCGATCCTGTTCCATTTCTGCTAGAAATTTGCTAATATTGAATTTCAACTTACGTGTTATCGTCAGAACGAAAACAGTGCGACATTAGTTGAGGTCAATTTGCTAATATTTTCTAATCAAATTTGATGCCAGTCTATCGACATTCTACTAACATTTTGCTTACGGAACAGTCTCTGATTAAGATTTGTTGCTTTTCTGGCGTCAAAAATAATCATAACAAACTCTGTTCAAATCTGTTTCTGTAGGTTTAGCTATCTGGGTCAAGAGAGTGTTGCCCTGGGGTCAGTACTACGCATATATCCAACAACAATGAGCCTGGGGCTTCAGAGGAAGTTAAGGATAATATCCTCTACAAGAAGGTTTCTGAACCGGATTAGCTGTCTTGGATTACAGGAATTGAAGTTTCATTATCGGTCTAGCTGTAGCAGTTGTTCTCATTGGTTTTATCAGAACCTACCACTTCAGTGCTTAGGGACGCACCTATTCATTTGAAGTAACACTTAATGGTTTCTCAATCGAAGCATTCAAGTTTGAAAAATATTTTGAGATTCCATCCAAGAACGAAGTTTTTGCACTTCAATATCAGTGGTACGTAATAATAGTTAAGTGAAAGTGATATATATCTTCATAAGTGTCACAATTATCTTTGTGTTCCTAGTCAAAGGCGCTACTACAGACCGGCATTCCGAAGGAATTGATTGCAGATGGCTTTTACTCGATTGGAGCAACGGATAGACAAGTGTATCCATTCGATGCATCAGTAGTCGAACTCCCAGTTCGAACTCGCAACTGCGAGACGCCGCTCTCTCTTGAAGATAGAAGTGTAACATTGGCATCCCAAAGGCTGGGACAATGGCCGTCACTTATACGACTATAAAAAGGAACAATTTATTCAGTGACGATCAGTGATTTGAAACGCGTCTCATGTATACATAGACCATGTCTTAAAGCCGATTCCTCGATCTCACGTTTTCGCATTCGGTTGTTTGTATCTCGCGAAAATTCTCTGCCTACAAAATATTACTTTACGTATCCTATTTGCAGGGTTGTTAACGTTACTTAAAAAAGTAACGAAGTTACTGGTTTCGTTACTTTTTTCAGTAACGAATGAGTAACGTATTTACTTTTTCTAGCGAGTAACAGTAACGGTAACTAAGTTACAATTTTCAATAACGACTTACAGAATTTTACGTTACTTTTCTCGTTATTCCGTTGGTTCCGACATTTTACTTCAAAGCTATAAAACTTATTTTTCGATTGGATTCGGGGAGGCGCTATTAGCGCTATTATTTGTGTTATTCTATCTTCATCGTTTATTAGACGTAAGACAAGGAAAGTACTACACAAATGGCGCTGATAGCGCACTGCCCTAAACTGCCCGAACACAGTCTTCAGGTAATAATACAATAATTATACAATAATTATACTATATAACTTATATAATATAAGAATAATTATACAATAATTTATTATAAAATAATTAAATAGTTAATAAAATATAAAATAATAAAATAATTAGTGAGAAGGCTCTATATGAATAAAACAATACAAAACTAAGAAGGGCAAAGAGCCAAATAAATCTATAGAAAATATGAAATATACCTATTTGTTATGTTTATGGCTATATGCCTTTATATTAGGTGTACAAATTAGTTCGGTCCGTTTTTTGTGTTCAAAAATGCATTTATTTTAAAACAAAATGAATGAACCGATTAATTAAAGTATTGTCCATCGCTGGCTACTACTTTTTCCCATCTCTCAGGCAATTTTCGAATTCCATCTCGAAAAAATGATTCATCTTTGTAGGCGATTATCTTTTGGAAAATGGACCGAACTAATTTGTATTTTGAATAATGCAGTTAAATTTTCATGCGCACGCGCGGAGAGATTATTGTAACCGTTCAAATGTCAGAGTCAGATCAATGTATATGTGTGTGATTATCGATTAAATATTATATTACAAAGTTACAAAATATTTTTGTTCATGTGCTCTATTTAAATGTCCGAACGATGTAAATAATTGATAGACAAAAAACTAAACGAGTTTAAGGTACTAACGCGACAATACCATCCAAAGTTACGAGGGCAAAGTCAATAAGTTCTTAGAAAATCTGTCAGGGGGAACTCGCAGTGTCATGTCACATTACTTTTTGGCAAGTATCATCTTTTAGCTAATTACTATCAAATTTTGAGCGCAATATATCGAGAGGTTTCATTTCTGTAGACAATTAAAACAAACAACCTTTGTATTTTTTGCAAAATGGAAAAAAAACGAGTTTCGTGCAATGATTAAACATCTACATATGAAAAGTTTAACGCCGAAAGAAATCAAAGCCGAGAGTTGGATAATGTTCATCTGCACCAGCGTTTGCGACTGTATACAATTGGATAAATGAATTTAAACGTGATCAAACATTCACATGTGATGCACTTCGTTCGGGATCTCCAATTGAGCTGCTACACCATCGATATTGTTTTGACTGATCGACAAGTGAAAGTGAGCAAAAGCTTGTTGAGGCCACAGGCGTATCGCATATGGGACATTGATTTCAATTTTGCACGAACAATTGAGTATGCTATCGGCAAGATGGGTGCTGTTTGCTCACTGTGGACCGTAAGCGCGACCGTGTGATGATTTCAAAAACAATATTTGGAGATGTTTCAACGTAATCCAGATGAATTTCTGCGTCGATTTATTTTACTGTGGACTTTAATTTTTACTGTAGACGAAACATGGATCCATTACTTTACACCCGAGGAACAGTCAAAACAATGGACTTCACTGGGTGAACCAAGAAGGCTCCGAAGAAGGCGAAGATCGTGAAGTCGGCCGGAAAGATGATGGCCACAGTTTTTTGGGATGCACGCGGTATAATTCATATCGATTACCTTCCGTCATAGCAAACGATCAATGGCTATTACTACGCCTATGCAGCCTTATTGGACCGTTTCAACATTTTAAAGAAAAAACGTCCCTTTTTGGCGAAGAAGAAAGTGCTCTTCCATCAAGACAATACACGTGCTCGGCACCGATGGCCAAATTCAACGAATTCCGCTACGAATTGTTTCACCATCCAGCATATTCGCCAGATTTAGCCCCCTGAGACTATTTCCTGTTTCCAAACCTGAAGAAATGATTCGGAGGAAAGAGATTCACTACCAGAGAGCAGCTCATCGCCGAAACAGAGGCTTATTTTGAAGAGTTGGACAAATCATATTATTCGAACGGCTTGAAAAAGTTAGAGAATCGTTAAATCAAGTGTATCGAGCTGAAAGGAGACTATGTTGAGAAATAACAATGAATCGATAAAGAACAGTGTTTTACTATGTTTTTCTTAAAACTTATTGACTTGTTTTCGTAGATTCCATCGCGCACTCATTGATGTATACTCCCGCCAGTGAGAGAAAACTTTTGATTGCGAGTGTCGTCTACACACTCTAAGGCTCTTATATATTATATAATTCACACATATTAACGTAATAAATATTGCATTCAGTAACACTGCTACATATTTCGAACTTCAGTATAAAACTTCAGTATAAACCTAAAACTTTGATGCTGTGATAGCTATGTATTTGCAATAAAGAGAAAAAATTACTCTTCAATTAAAGAGAAAACTCTTTGGAAAAGATTGAAAGCAATTTCGGCAATGTCTCAAGCAAATAAAGAAAAAAAGTTTCGAGAAAATGTGTCACATCTTCATAATCTTAAAATATTCATGCGTTGAGCAGTGCATATGTCCCCAGATAGCAATGTCTATCTTGTTGCCGGTATATTGCTAGCAAATCATAGCATGTGTTGCTATCAGAATTGTAGCAACTAAGTCCTCATTTTCTGGCAACTTGATATCTTTACGATACAATTTCAGATAGCAACTTGCCGGCAATTTACCAGTAACTGTTGCTGTTGTGTTGCCATATAATCATTTATAGGATCACGCAATGCTGTCATATTGCGAACAACGCGAAGTAACTTTGATGCTGCTATCTTGCCATAAAACTTCTGGCAACACATTGTTGCCTGCGTGTTGTCGTAATATTAACATACTTGAAATCATTAAAGACAAATATACAGCAAGTTACCAGCATCATAATGAATTATAGGTTTGCGCGATTTTGCTGAGATACACTTTGTTATCTAGATCACATACTTTGTTTAATTACATTTTTTTAATTAAACGGTCAACAATTTTGAAACTTTTTATAACATTTATATATTTCTATTTTATAACATATTTGTTTTTTATAACAATCATAATAAGCATAATATGAATGCTATAATAAAAAAATCTGACATTAATTTGAGTTGCATATATGCATTATATGTTAAAACTTGCAAATTTTAATTGCAATTATTTCAAAAATTAGACGGTCAATATGTTTTAATTGCACGGTCAATTGGACGATCAATGTAATATTGTACTGGTACATACATAAAGGGCACTTCAATTTGTATTTAAAATTTTAGCTCATTCGTAAGAAAATCATTTTATACAAAAAAAGGCCTCTATGCAGGCCTTTGCCAGCGTTTCCGCATATGACGAGTCATGTGCGCACAGGTAAGATCCCTTATTATATTGTTACATTCGTAATGAGCGATCTCGCACTCACGTACGCAGTCACGTTCTTGACAATAAATAAGGCACTCGTATTTAAAGAAAGAATGCTTACTATTCAACACAACAAGCGAATACAACGGAAACAATATTTCTGAATGGGACGACGACTTGATACCAAACTTGAAGTCGTCTTGACAAACTCGCATCTCATCGCCCCGAGAACGATGGTCTTAATTATCATTGCTGGTGATTCGATTTAACGCGAAATTACTCAGTACAGGTTATAACAGTATGTATACGGTGAGTATATGAGTGTTGTGTGTATATTCAGCTTTGTGAAATCATAATCATATCATTACTACAGGATCCTTTACCAGTGATTACCTGTTCATCAAACCCGCGTTCCATTAATATGGGATGTCGCGAAGTAAGAGCGCTTATATACGATCAAAGACGGGAGGCGCAAAAAGAATTTTCCTCTTCGCCGGACGTAATAATATTATATATATTTTGTATTATATAGAACTCATTTTGTATTATATTGACTCAACTTATACCATTTATATTATTATAAAAATTTCAGCAAAGAAATAAGTTGCTTTGCGGGTCATCTCCGTGTCTTGAAACATCGTTGAATGTTAACGTTTTGTAAACATTTTGCAGTTCACTTCTTCAAGGCGAGACAGCCTGATTCTGACCCAATAGTAGGCTATCTCTCGCCCTGAAGAAGTGAATTACAAAATGTTCACAAAACATTGACTCTTAACGATGTTTCAAGACACGGAGATGACCTCTGCGAAGCAACTTGCTTCTTTAAAGAGAATACCTGCGGAAGTTTTAAGAATATCATTT